CTGACCAGCTGGGCAGTTCACGCCCTCAGCTCTAACTGCAGACCGGGCTGGCTATCGGCCAGTGGAGCTGGCACAGCCATACATAGAGAAACTAATAGATTCAAATAGGTTTAAAAATGGCACGAATAAAGATCAGGATCATTTATGTTTACCATCACATCAAATTTAAATTATCTTGTGGATCGAAGCAATTCCACGCCTTGGTCAACTGCTCCGTCAATGACCTATGCCTCTTCCACAGGAGACAGGTCTCAGGATCAGGCAGAGCCCTGATCACCAAGGTGGAAGCTACAGAGCAAAGTGCCCACCCCTGTCCCAGGGGCCTCTGCTTGGAAGGACTGCGAGCTCCGCAGACGGAGCCCAGGGGAGACAGGAGCGGGTGGTGGTGCAGCCCTCCGGGGAACCCGTGCTCAGCGATGAGCTGTACCTCCCTGTGACAGCAGCCGTGTGGTGAATGACAAGCCCGGTCAGGTATCGCCTTCATCTTCAGATGTCACGTCAGCTGGGACGGGCGGTCACAACGCAGGAAGGCTGTCAGTGCAGCAGGTCCAGAGGTCCAGGCCGCAGTCAGGAGGAGGGGAATGACACTCCAGTTGCCCGCTCCCTAGAGCCTGACCTTCCCCTGGGCCTGGCTGGCCAGCCACGTCATCAAGGGAGTCCTCGCAGCCTTCTAGGAACTCACACTCTGAGCTGCCTTTTATTCCAAAACCTTATGGCAAAAGCAGCTCTGCTGTTTCGCCCAAATGCTAATGAGGGAAAAATAAAACAAGGGACACAAAGAGCATCTTCCCCACTTCTTCATTTTGTTCATTCATTCAACAAATATTTATCCTATGGCCCAGGCAATATGCTAGGCATGGGCGGTCACTGAGGCCGATAGTGCCCACCCTCAGCAGAGTTAGATTCTGATAGGAGAGACGGACATGCAGCGGGCAAAATATGCGCTTGAAGAGAGCCACAGAGGGTGGTCTGGGAGCAGTGAGGGCAGTGGGCACAATCCTGGAGGCCTTCATGTTGGAAGTGGCACCTAGATTAAAGCTTAAAACTGGTCACAGGGAAATGTAGGGAACTAGTATGTACCCAGTTATAAAAAGGCAGCAGGTGTGTTTGGGGAATAGATGAAGTTCCCGTAACCGAAGCATTGAGGGGAAGGAGGTTGGGAAATTCAACAGAATTTCAGGGGCAGGAGACAAGAATATTATCCAGATGGTTCTGAGGAATGAGAGAAGTGAGCAGCATGGAGGTCGTTTACATGCATTTCAAATCCGTTATTTAAAGGTGATTTTCCATTGGTATACTAAGAAGAGACCTAACAAAAACTAAGATAAATCTAGATACCCCAAGAGAATCCTGTAATGATTTTTAAAACCTGAATAATCATTAAACAATTATTAAATTTCTGTTGTATGTATTAGTGAGTTACTTGCGATTCATAGAGAAGATACTTCTTTTTGCATAGTCCCCACCCCAAAACATAAATCCCCAAGGTTTTAAACAGCTCACACTATACAGCTCAGCAATGAGAAGCTTCCCTTTGCTCCCATTCTCAACGGTCCCTGCTACACTGCTCTAATCACAGTGTTATTAAGTACATCCTACATGGGAGGTAGGCAGGCTGGCTTAACCCTGACCAGGCCACTTGCTCGCTGTGTGACTCCAGGCAAGCTAGTCACCTCTCTGAGCCTCTTTCCGGTGACAGACCCCTCTCCCAGGGTGCCACGGGGTCTGGGGAGCCTCTCTGAGCCTCTTTCCGGTGACAGACCCCTCTCCCAGGGTGCCACGGGGTCTGGGGAGCCCCTCTGAGCCTCTTTCCGGTGACGGACCCCTCTCCCAGGGTGCCACGGGGTCTGGGGAGACAGTGTTGGAAGTGGGTGTTTCCATTTCCATTTTACTGAAGCGTAAGGAGGTCAGGAGGTCGCACAAGGCCACGCAGCTACACTGTGCCCTCTGGCTTCGTGCCAGGATGCGATTCACTCTGCATCTAGCTCTCTTTTCTGCCATAATCTGTGTTTGTTTGTTTGGTTTTGGGGGAGAGGGTGATTTTCAATGGTAAATATAATTAAAGTTTAATTGTGATGACCTTGCTCATACTATTGAAATAAAAGTTTTTGAATAAAGTGCGAGTGGAGAATAACAAGCAAAAGTAGTACCGGATGGGCACTTTAAATGGGTGAGTTGTATGGTAGGTGAATCATCCTATATAATAAAACCCTAATATGCAAATCGACTGAACGGTGGAACGACCGGTCACTATGATGCACACTGACCACCGGGGGCAGACACTCAATGCAGGAGTTCCCCCTGGTGGTCAGTGCACTCCCACAGGGGGAGCGCTGCTCAGCCAGAAGCCGGGCTCACCGCTGGCGAGCGTAGCAGCAGGAGCCTCTCCCGCCTCCATGGCAGCGCTAAGGACACCTTGGGGATCCCAGACTGCCAGAGGGCGCAGGTCAGGCTGAGGGACCCGCCCCCATCCCCCTTATCCCCAGTGCAAGAATGTCGTGCACCGGGCCTCTCGCATCTCAATAAAGCTGTGCAACAGGAGGGCTGCTGTCACCCGCACATCTCTGCCCAGGGGTCTGGATAAAAGGGGCCTTGATGGTGAAACCCCTTGTGGTGCGTGTGAGGCTGGGCTGCACTAGGAGGAGAACTCGAGAACAAAGGGCTTTACTGACTAAGGTCTCATGCCGCCCATGGAGCCTCCTAAAATGTCCGGGAAAAGAGGGCTAGCCCAGCGCACAAGCACCTGCTTGTGAGGTCACCCTTCTCAAAATACCGAAGTCACCAAAATAGCAGCAGCAGGAAGCTCTGGAAAATGCAGATTACACGAGCCTGTTCCCAGGGCAGCTCCCACCGAGCCAGGAGGAGCCGTCCTCCAAGCCCAGGGCCCCAAGACTTCCTGAGCGGCTGGCAGGACAGGTGGTGGAGAGGTCCTGCTTCACCGGTCACGTGGGCACAAGAACCAAAATAAACACAGCCGTGGCCGGAGGGGTGCGAGCCTGGAACAGAATCCGCACCACGCGGCCTCTCCGTTCAAAGGCACACACACCGCCGGACTCGGAAACAGGCCTCCACTGAATTTCCTTCCCACTTTATGAAGGAAACGTAAAATGAAATGTTACTTGTTTTCTTTTTCGGTAGGAAGACCATTTGCACGTCCCAAATTCCTAATTG